AAAACTATTAATATTTTGAATATTATTGCTACTTTATATAAAGAAATCTTTACTGCCTTAAATGTACTATTTAAGAATTCTTGCTGTGTTTGTAATTCTCTTCAAGTAGAGAGAAGGCCCAGATGTTTGCTACTAGAACACCTCTTTGGTTTTATCATGGAGAGTGATGTGAAAATAGAAATCACTTAAAACCTCTTTTAACACATGATTTATTTAAAATTCATCCAGGTGTGAGGGATTCTTGTATTAGAGTGTGAAGTGAGGTTTTTGGGTTTTGGGATTATTACTCTGGGTCGACTTCCTTTGAAGGGCAGTAAGGAGGGATTATGCCAGGGCTTGTTTCATGTTCCATAAACGTTCCATGAAACATGAAAAATGCAGACAAATTAGTAGTTGGAAGGAATTTGGAACTTCCCTTCTTGGTGATTAATGACTCCCCACTAGGAAGTCATTCTGAGACCAGAAGAAACCTAAAGTATAATTCCAGAAAGTTAGAAGAAGTGGGCATTTGACAAAATCTTTGACAGCTATGTGACTTGGACGAGGACGTGTAGGTAGATTGTTGTGTGACTTGACGAATTCTCAGTTGGCTAAATAATCACAGTCATATAGAATAGTGACTTGATTTCTGGCATTACAGTAGGTGCTTAGTGAATCTTGGCTGAATGAATGAATGAACAAATGAATGAACCAGTCAGCTGAGCAGGATGATGTCCATTGTGGCCTACACAGTATTCTGTCACCTTGGTTTTGTTGTGTTTGACATTTCTAGGAATGATTTGGATCCCAGATGTATAAGATACATAAACCGTATTTACTGTACTTGAAGACAATCCAAACTGGGAAGATAATTAATCAATCACAGAAGAGAAATTCAGAATTATCTTGCTAGGTTGGAAACTGGGCCAAGATGTACAGGCATAGGCATGAAGCCTTACGTACGAGTTTAAAATTTCAGTCGGACCGTGGGAACCTCCTGTTTTGAGAGTAACAATCGTGAAGGAGACTTGGGAGTCTTGCTTCTGTCCCCATCATTCAACCAAAACTCTTCTCACGGAAGTTCCAATGGCTGTTTGGTAGTAAAAGCTACTTAGTCCTTGTCAGTCCTCATCCTTTCTGTTCATTTTACAGCATTTGACACTGTTTGACCCTCTTAATTTTATGTCCTTCATGGAACCTTTCTCTAATTCTGTAATCCCACTTTGGCCTTATTTGTCTGCTTTTCTGATTTTCTCTTTTTAGTCTCTTTTACCCTCCTTTTAAAGGTTTTCCTTTAACTTTATATTTAAAAGTCAGTGTTCCCTACATTATAATCTTAGTGTGCTTGGAATCTGCATCACTCCCTGGTAATTTACCATTCATTTCAAATATATTTGTCAAAGACTTACTATGTGCCCAGAACTGTTCTAGGAGCTGCTATTCTACGAGGATGAGAGACAATAAATAAACAAGTGAATAGATAGATCAGGACTGGGTCATGGTTAAAGTTATGATGAATATCAAACCCAGGTAAAGGGACCAGGAATGTCAGGGCTGCTGTTTTAGACAGGGTCAGGAAGGGTCCCCTAAGAAGGTGGCATTTGAGCAGAGCTGGACTTCTCGTGCTCCCAAGGCTACCTCTGTACTGGAGATGTCCAGATCCTCGTCTCTGGCAAGCCCCTCTCCTTTGGAGCCATATTCCTGAGTGCCTCGTGGACGGCTCCCGCAGGATGTCCTAAGAGCACCTTAAACCATACGTGCATGTTTCCTATCAAACTCCTTCCTCCCCTCTGGTTCCCCATTTTGGTTCACAGCATGACCTCCACACTCAGCCAAGCTAGAAACTCCAAACTGCCCTTTGAATCCTTCCCCTTTCCCACTTCACGCATGGGTATCCAGTCAGGTGTCAGCCTGGTCCTTACTCTCCACATGCTGTAGCTCAGCCCCTGCCTGTCTCTTGCTTGTACTATTTCAGGAGACTCCTGATTGGTTTGCCAGCTTCTAGTCTCATCCTGCTCCACCCTGTCTTCCTTGTTACCAACAGAATGACCTTTGCACAGCACAGGTCAGATCTTCTTTGAAGCCTGCGTTCTTCATGCACTGCCTCAAGAGGTAGCAAGGTGTTCAGCTTACTGGCTCCCAACCTACTGGCTCAGCCATCTTCCTTCAGTGCCCTCACACCACCCCACCCCCTGTGCTCTGGACCTTATGGCAGAAAAATCATCTCCCCAACCCTTTGACGATACTCTTTTCCCCCTTCCATATGCTCTTCATATGAAAGTGTGTTCCTGGAACACTCTTTCCCTTCCCCACCCCTTCCCTACCCTACCTGGCAGGTTTCTACTGCAGTAGCCAACTCAACCCTGCAAAGCTTTTCTCAAATTCTCTCTCCTTCTCCCCTCGTTTTCTTTGTTGTGATACCATAGTGCCTGTAGCAGGTAGAAGCACCCTGGTTTAGGAGAATTGTCTGTGTCCCATCAGCCTGTGGGTTGCCTGGAAACAGGCACCGTTGCTCATGCATGTCTGTGCTGCTGGTGGATGTTAGCACCTGGAAGGCTATTTCATGCATGTTTACTGAGCTGGCTGGAATTCTACCAAAGACATGCAAATATATAAGTCAAACCATGTGAAACCGCTGTTCTCCTTAGTGATGCTTCTGGCTAAAACTGGAGGCATAGACATGTTATAACATACACTGTTTTCTTTCTTGCTGTTGACAATTTTCCCATCATTTTTTTCTGATTCAAATGGTTTATAATAAATGTCTGTGAGATTTTGAGTGAAATTTTTATAACGTGGTACAATGGTAATTTCCAGAATTGTCATACATTATTATCCTAATGGAAAGAAATGATGAGGTTATGAATAGGGCACAAGTGATAAATTGTTCATTTACATGTAGCTTTTCAAGGTGAAAGTAGATGTTGTGAATATTTTGTCCTTTGGTTTTGATTTCTGACACTGTGATATAGAAGTAGAGTTGTCCTTAAATTAAGAATGTCTTCCATATTCTGCCTTCCCACTTGTATCAATATTAAAATAATAATCTTAAGCAATAGCCAAAAAAATTATTCTACCGTGCCAGTTCTATAACTGAATGACTTTACTAGACACTTTTTGAAAGCCAGTAACACAGCTAATCACAATTGTCTTCTTTTGTGCTGAATTGAATTTTGTTTGGTTTTAATTCTCATTTGAACTACTGAGGGGAACAAGCCCGTGACACCAGCACTTGCCACCTTCCTGAATGGATCTAAGCAGTCTTTGCAAGAAAATGTTGAAGACTGTCCTATTAAGATGCATCATCGGGATTTTCCATGGATATAGCTATATCACAAACGAATCATTTTTCTGAAGTCTATAGTTTTAGACTGTCATGCTTCTCAGTTCCCTCACTGGGAGATTAAGCATGGTCCCAGGTAATTTTTTTTTAAAAAGACAATAGTTGGTTGTGGGCATTGGTCTTCTAGGACAATGGCGAAAGCGAAAATTGAGATGTAAAATTAAAAGAAAATATTGAAACAGGCTAAACTGGTTTTCAAAATCTTTTCTAGTCTAACACAACCAGAGAGGTATTGAATGTAAAAAGGTTTGGGGGATTATCTTAAATGAATGCATTAAAAGATCAAGTTGTTAGAGGATTTAGATTCAGGATCTTACAAAATTTGTTCAAGGTGTTGAAAAACAGTCAAAACTTGGGAGAATGTTTTTAGAAGAAAGTGGTCTGTAACTTGTCTTTATGTTTGCTTCCAAGATTGGGTATATTTAAGCCCAGCCAACTAGCAGACTGTTCTTGATCAGGGAATCTTTCACCCTGTGGCTATCAAAGATCATCCCTGTATTTGATGTGAGTTTCTATAATTTTTTTTATAGGGCCAATGAAGGTAAGTGGGTCAGCCAAATGCATAAAAAATGGTGCAGAAATTAGTGATGCTTAGTCTATTAAAAAAAACTTGTTTTAAATGATTTTTTAAAAAGTAACCGCCTTGTAAGAAGGAAAGAAAGAAATTAGTGATGCTTGGAAACATGGCTCATAACCGTGATAAATGCTTATACGTTGGGATGGGTTGAGAACATTGGTCTGGTGGTATCTGGAGATAGAAGGCAGCCTATGAAACCAGCAGTCAAAATCATTATTCATGTTGAATATTTAAAATGCTCTGGAAAACATCCTTTTGATTTTGAATGAGGGTCTCTAATGAATAAATCTTCATATAGAAATAATCACATCCAATAAAAAACCACTGTATTTTGATTTTCATCCCAAGAAATCACCAAAATGTCAGCTAGATATATTTGTAACCCATTATGCTTATTTTTACATAAGTAAGGATGCCTTTTTAAAAAATTGGTCTTGAGCTAAAGTTTCTCTATCACATATATTAACTATAGACAAGGAGTGGATTCTAATATCCAAGTGCTACATTGCTGTTGTTAAATCCATATTTGGGTTTTCTTCCCTCATGTATTTTTTCCTCCCTTCTTTAATATATATTTTATTTCTTTTTTGTTTTTGTTTTTTTGGTAGCTGGCCAGTACAGGGATCAGCAACTGTGACCTTGGTGTTTCTTTACCATATATTTTCAAAAATCAATCTACCTACATAGAAATTGTATGAAAGACATATGAAAGAAAGCAAATACCATATAGACGATGGGCACGTCCTTCGAATATATTTTGCCAGGGTCAGAAGTAAACGAAATCAAACTGGGATGTGCTATGAAAGGGTCACACGGCACGGGAATGACAGTTTTGTGCTTGCACGAAGTCACACATTTCTCCTGGGAGACTGTCTATTTGCGGCTAACCAACTGAGTCACATGGTGGGAGGGGGCTCTTTTCTTTCTTTTCCACATCCCCTCCTCTGATGTCACCCATCTATTCTTCCCTGGGAGAATTAATTAGCATTCATTGGGTGCAGTTGGTGAGAAGACAGAAGGGAGCGGAGAAGGCGGGGGGAGCGAGCTCTTAAGACAGCAAAGGGGAGGAGCCCGCGGGGAGCAGGGGGGACCCGCAGTGAGACCGGAGGCACGATTGGGCACAGAGTGGCTGTTTTATAGCCGGGATCCTCGGTGACGTATGGCTGCCTGCTCCTTGGCAGCTGTTTTTATGGACCAGCAGGCAGAGCGAAATTGACGCTGACAAGACTTTCGCATCTTGGAAGGGACTGTCATCCACTGTAGTGAAGAACAGAGCCTCTCAATCAGGCGGGTGGAAATAAGAGGCGGAGGGGAGTCCAAAAGGAAAGGAAGGGGAGGGAGCAAAGTGTGTGCTGGGGGGAGCGGGGCAGAGCATTTTTGGTGGATGGTATGAAGCCAGCCATGGAAACTGCAGCTGAGGAAAATACTGAACAAAGCCAAGAGAGAAAAGGTACCCGGCGCTCTGACAATAGCCTGTTTCAAGCTTTTCCCGGGGGTGCTGAAAAAGGGCTAGCCCGGTTTTGTTTCTCTTTGCAGATGACTTTGAAACAATCCCTATGGCAGGATCTTGCTCTCAGGGTTGTTTGGTCCTGTGGGCTGATGTGAAATGACTAGAGCAGCCTCTCTTCGATCCATTCCCCGTTCCAAATCTTTCTACCGAACGTGCTATTTCAGAGAAGGGTGACTGTAGTTTGTCACCTTGGGCAGAGGGATTGGGGAAACTGTCTTGTATGAATAGACTTAATCATAACTTAGGTCCTATGTTTTGCATGTTATATGCCGGGGACATGGAATGTGCTGTTTTCTGCTAATGCCGAGGAGGAACTGGAGGGGCATGCACATGAATTTTGCTTTGGTTCCGCTAGTCCAGTTGTGATTTGGGTATTGTCTAGTTTTCTTATTCCAATGTGATTGCTCTTTCTGTGTATCAGGCCCTGGCTATGACATGTAATAATCATTGATTACAGCTAGAGCTTGGGAGAGGGGACATGAGCTTTGTCGCCTGGTACTGAGAAAAGGGCGGGGGCGGGGTGGTCTTCTGCTAATTATGTCTTGGAGATTTGGGGGAGGAAAATTGGTCAAGGTTCTATTCCTTAAAGGGAGTCTTGGAACATACCACAGTTTTGATATATGGAGAAATATGTCTTTTTGCGGTAAGAAAGTGACAGAAAATAGAAGCTAAAATTATTCTCCCTTTGCCTAAATAATGACTGACATCAGTGTTGGTGCCCCTAAGAGTCAGCTCAGCCCCCTTAGGTTAATGGCATCGCACTGCAATGTAATTCATCTCCCTTGCTGAAAGTCGTAGACTGTCATAAATGCACAAAAACGTATTTTGGAACCTCAATGGCTCTAACATCAAAAGCCATCATGCTAAGGTTATTTCTCACAACCCTTGAGTCCACTGAGTCACTAAACAATATAAATTCTCCAGGATGAAGGCACAACTTCATTTTACTTATGAATATTTAGGCTGAACCATATGAAAAGTGCTGATTGTCAACCATATTAAACCCACAAAAACAGCAATTATGTGTAACTCAACTTAGCACATTGGGGTAAAGGCTGCTTATTTTTATATAGAATTTCTTCTGTACACATAACATTTTATCCCTAACAGTGCAATTTTATTTATAAAAAATTTTAAAACTATGAAATATACATAACATAAAATTTGCCATTTTAACCATTTTTAAATATACACTTTAGTGGCATTAAGTACATAGTAATTTAATTTTAAAATTGGTAGTTTAGTTCAACCCTTGTATCAAACTTATCTTCCCCCACCAAAAAATTACCCTGTCTTTTCTTATATGTGCCTTTAAAAAAATCTACATGAATGACCAAATAGCAATAAGAGAAGCTCTTAGGAAAAGTGAGACAAAAGTTGAAAGATTCATTTCCACGATGATCAGAGACTAAGTTGATTGCATGTTGGAGGGGGGTGTATTATAATATGATAGCATTGTCCTGAGAGATCCTATCACAGTTTATAGCAATTTTTTAATAAAACAGATGATTTTGTTTAGTACATGCTTTTAAATTAATATGGTGTTTGCCCATGGCAGATAAAACCATTTTGATTTTTGCAAGACATAAGACATTTTAGTCTCTGCAAAAACATACATTTTGGTTTTTTCTCCAAAAACAAGCAAGAGACTTAGAACTGCTGTAAAATGTTTACTGCACAATTGTGTGTCTCATCATCGTTTAGTCTTATGGACTGCTGTTATGTCAATGAAATATTATTTAATAGATCTCCAAGTTGTCACTACATCCCTGACAACCTGTATATGAAAACTCATTAGCTGTGGTTTTAGAGACAAAAGATCATTCTTGGAAGAACTTTTAAAATTACCCAAATGTAAACATGCTAGCTTGTTAAATAACTCAAAAATACCAGGCTGCCAAAAGCTAGTGTCACATGATAGCACATGCTTGATTAAGAATATGGGCCAACGCATGTCTTTTTCCTGATACGCAGCTTATGTGAACATTATGTGACCCACCATAAATGCAGATCTGGAGGGTGGCCTATCTACTCATCTTCATTAGATGAGCAGGTGACATGCCAGCCTCACAGAGTCAAAACTCACACAAGTATTTTTGTAGTTTCCCAGTTGCTTGGGCATTGTCATTAAGGCACACATAGGTATAAAACAATAGCCATAAATGGTTGTTCTTGCTTGGTACTCCAGTAGTCCTTCTGATTTAAGTGTATAAAATAAATGCTTATTTCACTGAAATTAATATTTTAAAATTTGACATAATTACTTATAGAACCTATTATAATTCGTGAGCTAGTAGATTTGGATTTTTTTTCCTTCCTTTTAAGCCTTTTAGCAAGGGATTTTATTTACTAAATTTAACTTATACATTCTGTCACTTCATACAGTTTTTTATGCACGTATATTATTTCCCCCTCTGTTCCTCCTTTCTCATCTGTTTTCAGTTGTTGGTGATAGGGGCAATGCTTGTCTCTTAATTTGGGGTATGATTGCCCAGTGGCTAGGACCCAGTAACTTGGGAATTAATAGCTTTGGATAATTAATTATTACAGTGTCTATTAAGAATATGAATTAAACTTAGCTTTATAAATTGAGCTCAGCTTTTCTAGTTGGTGTTCTTTCCCAGGAGTTTCGGCAGGACAGTGTATCCCAGCTATTGTGATTCACTAACTCCAAAGAGAGCTGTTCCCTTAAACTAAATCAGAATGACTTTGTTTCTGTTTTAGACAAAAATAATCCAAGTCCTTACAAAAGGAAAGCATTTGTGTTTTTGAAACACACTGTTAGCTTTTATCACAGAAGACTACTGGACGGCCAATATTCACAAGAAGTATCTAGCGGATATTCAGGGATTTTTATGGAAAGCAAGCAGATTTTCTCAGGCGGATGTAAGAAATGCCAAATTATTACAAATGACAGTTTTTAAATTGAAAGCGTTAAATTAAATCAAAGTGTAAGGACTGGGCAAACAGATTAACTGAAATAGAATAAGTGGAGGAAATGAATAAGACTATCAAAGGAAATAGATCATGGGACCCAATAATGAAAAGATGGAGAGCCGGTTTTTATTGATTTCAGTGGAGTATGACTGGATGTGAATTCATTTGTGAAAACAAGTGTGTCTGGAATTGGACTGCTTAACCACTGGGTAGGAAAACAGTTGAATCATAACTCTGTATGCTCTATTATGTGAAAAAAAGTCTAAGTATCTGTGATAAAAAAAATTTTTATATGTAGAAAGCTGGAATCAACTGAAACAATTATAGGCAGGCTAGTTAAATTCCTATGAATCATTGCTGAAATCAATTCCAGAATTACAGGTCTCAAATTAAGTTTTTAACCACATAGGAAAAAATATAGTAAATTGAAAGCAATGTGCAATTTAAAATAAATTACAGGATATAGTCAAAGCAAGCAATGAGTTCAAATTATTGACTTGTTTAAAAAATTAACATATTTATTTTAATCTTTTGATTAAATAGATATAGTTTTTTGATGTGTTTATTTTTTTTTAAATTTAACAAAATGTATGTACTTTTGGCTCTTCTTTTTTGTGTAGGTATAAGATCACTCCTCTTGAATTTATGACTTACATGCTAAAAACCCAAAGGAACACATTTTACATGTTACACTATTTCTGATGCTCTATGAATTATCAGATTTTGAGATTTTTTTGACATTTTCTAACTTGATTATAAGAATATAGTACAGAGAAAGTTCTAGATGGAGTTATTTTCTGTAAGAATTCGCCAAGGTGGCCATCTGAAGCGATTGTGTCTTGGGAATAGGCTGTAGAGAAAAGTGGCCAGCCAGATGGTCAGGCCATATGTGGTAGGTATGATATGGCTTTTTTTTTTTTCTTTAGAAAATGTAAATGTGGAGAAGATTTGAGGGAGCCATTTGGTGCATCTCCTACTTTATTGATTCCATTAGGATACTTTTCAAGACTTAGCCTTGCCATTTCATTAGAAAAAGAATCCTGGGCCATTTCTGGAAATTTAGATTTGTCTTCTTTAAAATTGAGTATAAACCCTGAATTGAGTTAAGATTGTAATTTTTAAGATTCCATTTCTCTGTTATTAGGAAGTACAGGTCAATTTAGAGTTATTACATCTTAATAAAATGACTTATTAGTCCTGATACATGTAAGAATATGAAAAGTAGCCAGTGTCCCAATGATGTAAACTTCCCCTCACTGGGACTGGTAATGAATTGGCTTGTTCCAGAGATATTCTCTTGCTTTTTTCTCCTTTGGACCCAATGCACACACATATGAGATGGTTGGCCAGCAGTAGGGATAGTGATGAGATGGAGGAAGAATGGTACACACTGGCTTTTGAGAGAGGCAGGCTACAATCCCAGCTTCACAAGTGTGCTTTGTTGTCCATTCATTTGTCCATTCATTTGATCATGTAATAATGTTCTTCTCTGAAACGTCATCCTTCCTCTTTCCTCTCAGCTCACGTGATAGGAGTCCAAGGAGACCATTAGGAGTAGAATCTTGGTTTTAACCATAATTTTGCCGATTGGTGGCAGATTAAATAGTAGACGACAATGCCATAGAGAATTGTGATGCTCAGCCAGCCCAGTGATATTTCTCTTCAGAGAGTGTTTAATAAGAGAAAATAAAATAATTCCCTATTTTATAGGATGATTTTATTAATCGCATTAACCGCTTTATATATTCACGCCTTACCATGCTATGTTTGATATCACGGTCAATACACTTTTTCCATGAAGGGTCAGATAATAAATATTTTAGTCTTTTTAGGCCACATGGTCTCTGTAGCAACTGCTACAATCTGCCATTGTAGCATGAAAGCAGCCATAGGTAGTATGTAAACTAATTGGCGTGACTGTGTTCCAATAAAACTTTATTTACAAAAACAGATGGCCATCATTTGCCAGTCTTTAGTATATTGTAAAGTATTGTTATAGCTTTCCTTTACCAATTTAAATAATAGCTAAGAATGAAGGATGACAAATGTATCTTTGAAAGACCTTGCCCAGCAAATATGGTCTTTCTAGGAAGCTCAGTGTTTGTGAGAATTTTCCTAGATACTAAAAAGCATACCTGTCTGCAGTTCAGTTGTTTGGCCTTGTCACTAAATCATATTATCTAAGTAAACGTGGGGGAGAAAAAAAAAGGAACAAGGCATTGTTTTCCTTTCCTTTCCTCGATTTCCCATTGTTTGTTTCATGCCCATCTTGGGTAGTGACCACTCACAGTTGTGTCTGTCCACATAAGCCACCACCACTCACCTCATCTCTACCTTCTACTCTCTAAGGGGGACGTTTTGCAGTCTTCTTCTGTAAGGCATAAACCATTTTCCCATTTCTTGCCGGGTGGCCAGAGTCAACAAGGTGTTCTAATAGACCATTCAAGCTGAGGTTTCCCCTCAGAATCATGCAACTCCCTTCTAGGTGTTGGGACCCTGTCCTTGGAATTAAAATGTATATGTGCTCTTTGAAATTTTATAAATAACTTTAATGTCTTTATTTAAGTTTGGCCCAAACATATAGAATAGAAATAATTTTCGTACATGTCTAAAGATTTACTGTTGTAAAAAGGCCTCTTCAGAAGTATTAGTCCAGGGGATTGGAAAACATCCATCCAATGGCTAATCCCATTTCTGCATCTGCTGGAGTGGTCGTGTTTTTATGCTGAATTAAGCATCTCAGGCATGGCTGCCATGTTTTTCTCAGAAAACACGTTAATGTTGGGCAGTCCATGGTTGTTCATTGTCATTGTCTAGCAGCCTGTCCCTGATTGCCCGAATGTCTGGAGACTCCCCCATCCACATGAGGAGATAATGACAGAGCATGGCTGAGTCCTCTGCAGAGATTCCTTGACTTGCGTGGCCTGGCCTGGGTGGATGTCAGCATGGTGGGGTACCAGGAGGTCCATTTTGGGGTCTTTGCTTTCAACCAGAATTTATTCAGCAAACATCTACTGTGTTCTGAGCATGTAGAGATACATTTTTTTAAAAGGAGGATGAAAATTTTCAGATCAAAAGCAATCGAGCTACTTAGAATCCTCTTGCTTGGGGGTCGATATGGAGGGCTCACAACCCCTTTACCAAGAGGAAATTGTATCAGACTATGAGGTGGCCTGACCTTCTGGTTCTTTCCACCAGCCCCACTGGGTTTCTTTGCTTTCAGAGAATGTAGCAGAACCCGTCTGAGAGAATTTTCTAGAGCAGTGAAGCAAAAATCTAAATCCAGGGAAGGCTGAGAACTAAATTCAGGGAAGGGAAGAACTTTTAAGAACTCTAAAATAACATCACTAGCTCAAGACCTGGACCATTTCTTTAGGAGACACACAAGTACAGCTCACCTCCAAATGGACCTCAGAAAAACTCTTGCTGAGCTAACCACTGCCTTGGCAAAAGATTAGAAAATGGTGGTAGATGCACAGGACACAGTAGGGTAATAAGGTGGTTTCAAAAGTATGCCCTTTGGAGTCAGATTGCCCAGGTTCACACTTGGGCTCCTCCACCCCCTGGCTGAGTGATCACAGGCAAGTGATCATTACCTTCTCATTGCCCTCAGGGTCTTCATTTCTTTTTTCTTTTTCTTTTTATTTATTTATTTTCTGGTGGCTGGCTGGTACAGGGATTGAACCCTTGACCGTGGTGTTATCAGCACCACGCTCTAACCAACTGAGTTAACTGGCCAGCCCCAGGTTGTTCATTTCTAAAGATAGTTACTATGTATTATTAATTTCATAGGGTGCTTGTGACAAATGAGGTAGCGTGATGACCAGCACGTTGTGAGCACTACATAAATCCTAGCTATCATCATCATGGACAACAGCAGCAGTGAAGTTTCATTGTGCAGCTCTGATCTTATCCCAGCATCTTTTTTTTTCCCCTTTTAAATATGGTATTTTTATCTTGCCTTGAAGCCAAAAAGGTTTTCTCTCAAACACCACCTGGAAAAGTACATATGTCTCCACTTCGCAGTATGAAATACCTTGAGAGTTTTCTGAGATTGTGGAGAGTGGAGTTGTCTGCCCCACGATGTGGTTATTTACTGGGTCCTTACCCTCAGTGATTGGAGAGGCCAAATGGAGCATTATAACCTGCTTCAGTGACAGAATCAGGTTTTTAATCCTTAACAGTTTGTGATACCCCTTATTGGGTTTTATGGGATTCTCAAATGTAAACTGGCCACAGTAACCTTATGGTATCTCAGGGATTTCAGGAGTGTAATTCAACGAACAGTTACTGGAAGCCTACTCTGGGCCAGGCAAATTGATAAGTATTTTTCTCTCCAATCCCCTAAGAAAGGGAAACATAGTTATATTACCAGATAAGAGTTGTGAGTCCCTGGGGGGGCCAATTGTCACTGTATGTGAGTAAGCAGTGATTTGAGCCCAAGACCAGAAGCCCTTTCTCTATAACACACTGGGAGATAATTGGAATAGGATTTAATCCAGAACATTCTGGACTCTGACATACTGAGTTTAAAATGAGGTGACAGAGAATACCGCAGACATCAGTGGGAGGACAGGCGTTTCATTCAAGATTCAGCAGAGCATGGGGTTATTTGCCAGATTTTCAGGACTGGACTCTGGGTACCGTGATGGAGAGTGAGCCTGTGTTCACCTTTGCCTGTGTAGCTGGCAGTAATTATAGCATTCTCTTGGTCTGAAAAGGAAATAAACAAAGAAAAATATTATTGTGAGAAGCCAAATTTTCACTATAAATAGTATCTTTCCAAAATGAGCATTTTAAGGGGTGGGGTGGGAAGGGGGAGATGGAGGAAACGAGGAAAGAAAAGGTAATCTGGGTGATTTATGTAATCTTAAATTTGAAAATGGGACAGGAGACTCCAACATTCTCGATTTATCGTGCTGAGTTGATAAGCTGGTACTGAAGAGTTGCATTTCAATAGCTATTTTTTAAATTCCCCATTTCCTTTAACTATATGGTAAAAGAATAAATAAAAATGCTGATGTAGAATCTTTGCTGGAGATAGAGACACTGACTCTTTGCCACCTGAAATTGGCAGTGAACAGCAGAGCTGAAATGGAAATTGGCAGGTACCACTGGATGTACCCAGGCTCAAAGAACCACCAGTACCATCCTGTGCCAACCCTGGGGGACAGGGCTGGCCGCTTGAGCAGTCCAGGTAAATACAGCCTCGGGGTGAATTCTAATAGCAAGTCAACTGTTATCTTTAATAATATTTGCAATGGTGCTTTCAGTTTGGTGATATTTTCTGTTTTGCTGAATGCATTAACTGGCACACATGGGCGTGGGAGGAATTGGCCCTGAAAAAATTGTTAAATCATCTTTCTCTCTCCCCCTCTCCATTCCACCCATCTTTCTGCACTTTCTTCTCCCTCTTCCCTCACCTTCACCTCTTTTCTCAAAGGGAGCCGTGTACAGTGAGATATGACTTTGGGTTAACCACGGAATTTCCAATGTCTGAACCAATGGGGGCGTGGGGCACATGTGTCCACCACGGGGTGAAAAACTGGGCCAGGGCCCTTGAGGAGCCCTGGCTCTGCAAGTACCCCAGATGTCTTCCCAGACCCACTGCTTTGCACCATCCTCTCTTAACATCATTGTCTTTGAGAAAGAAAACCCAAGGGCTGTGAAGTTAGGATCAGATAACTGTGTACTCAGTTTCCATCAGGTAGGTCCATTGGGTCTGGTTTCCATTTTCCTGGCTCGTGAGGGACACCAGTCTCTCAGAACCATGAGGGGCTGGGTGCATGTCAGCTGATTTGGGGACCTAGGAGGGGGAGAGCGCTGAGCAATGTGAACATCCACCCTCCCACATCCCCAAGGCCTCCACATGGCTTAATGCTCAGCTCGGTTAGCTAAAACCCAGTGATTTGCAAGGCAGAACTGTAATTGAAGCTACTTGAGATGTGGAAATAAGGGCTAGCGGTGGGTCAGATAAACACAACAACAGGCTTAAAGTATTGCTGTGATTTTGTGTCAACCCATAACGTCATTTCTCCCACATGGCTACTTTTTCAGGTATAAATCAGAAATGGCAGTGTGGCACGTACAACTCTAGAAAGAGAATCCTGAGGCACAATGTAAGGCACCCATTGAATTCCAAAGTCATAAACCCCATCATTAGTTTCATACAACTTTCTCTTTTTCCTTTACAACCTAAATTGTGGTGTCAGGTTAATTAACATGAAATCTGACTTTGGGTTTCGTTCTGCATCTGTGCATTTCTTCATCGCTGTATGGCTCTTAGGTGCCAGTTCTGTGCGTGCCTGGGCAGCACTGGTTAAAAAAGGTGAGCAAGAGGTGACATCAGGTATCCATTCTCATAAATACCTCAAAGACTGGGGGGATTCTGGAATCTTGATAAATTGTCACTGGGCATGATAAATGCATACAGTGCAATACTATTCAGCAATGAAAAGGAATGAAGTACTGATACATGCTACCGCACGGACAAAGCTCAGGAACGTTATGCTAAGTAAAAGAAGCCAGACACAAGAAACCAATGTTGTATGATTCTGCTTATGTTAAACTTCCAGAATTAGCAAATGAATAGAGACGAATAGCAGATTAGTGGCTGCCAGAGACTGGGGGGAAGGAGGGAATGGTGAGTGAGTCCAGATGGGCACAAGGGATCTTTTTTGGGGTGATGAAAATGTTCTAAAATTAGATTGTGGTGATGGTTAATTTACTCAAAACTATTGGATTGTTACACTTAAAATGGGAATTTTATGGTATGTAACTTGTATCTCAATAAAATGGTTTTTAACACCACTTCCAAAAGTCATTAGATGTATGTGTATAATTCAAGGGCACAGAGAGAGAGTGGACAATAGAGGGGTATTTGTTAACATAACAAGAAAACCCCCAAGTTATTAGAAACGACTGCTTGAGGGAGGTAGACCGTTCTTAAAATGGTCTTCATTTTAAGAATAAGTATTGGGTGACACCAAGCCAATGAAATTGAGAAAAACCTTAGTCTTTCCTGGGTTTTAGTTCATAAACTATGTGGTGCAGAGTAAACACCAGTATTTCATTAGGGAAACAAAACCCTCTGTCAGGTGCTCTTGAAGAGTTTTCTGCACTTGCTGGGCAGGTACCTGGAAGAGCGTTAGAATGAGGCTTGTGTGCTTTTGACCCTACAACCAGATACCAGAATGTGGGCATTCTCAGAAGCAGTGGCAGCTGAGAAGACTCCAGTTGTTTTTCCAAAACAGATTTGTGTCAAAATCCTGAAGAGTTTAAGAGTTTTCAAAAGATAATATGGTGCACACACCACGTGCTGCGTGATGCCACCAGCAAAGTCTGGGTGCCCCTGCAAATCCCATCCGTTAGTATTTCTGAAGAGCCCAGGTAAGATGAACAACAGCCCCTTGTCCATTCAGGTCCGAACGGGTTTTGCTGCCAGATGAGTTAGCTCCACCCTCTCTCCCCCCAAATCCTTACTTTTCAGGTTTGCTGGAATTCTGGAATGGTATGGTGAGAGACTGTAGAACTCTACTAGTACTCGGTTGCTGGTGATACTGCAAGCGAGAATTCCATGAACTAGCAGGTTCTTGCCTGGGCGGGGGGGGGGACAAAATAACTGAACTTGATTTAAAGAATTATCTTTCCACCTCCTGAGGTAGTCTGTACCCACACGTAGTTTTAACCTTTTGTGTGCATTGACTGAAGTGCTGCTGTGGCACAAAAGATCGGGACTGGAGCCCCCTGCAGAGAGACCCTGGGCATGACAGCATAAAGACCACGGCACAGGCCACAGAGCGAGGGGACCTAACACAGCCATGTTATTGCCTTCCCAGTTGCTTAGAGATTTTGTTGGCTCTTAAATTAATGCAGTTGCGTTTTGCACTTAAGTCCCAAACCAGATGGTGCGAGGCGAAAAAATAGAGAATTCCATATGGCTCCTGTGTCCTTTTTTTTTTTTCTTTCCCCTGCAGAGTTTTCAGTTTCTTTCCACGGTGGGGGAGAAGAGGTTTTGATATAGGCTGACCAGGAAATCTTTGTCAAAGGAAAATGCGTCTCCCACCATGCAGTTACTCTAGCAGAGACTGCCCTTCCCCCTGCAAGTTCCTTGTTTCCCACTGGAAGGATAAAGGTGGTTCCAGGGTCCTTTGCCTTGACCTTTTCATTTATTTCTTTGTTTTTGCTCAACTTCCCAGTAGAATTACTAGTTGCTCTTTCACCATCTGTTTCTTTGTTTTTACCTTTTAATTTTTTAGCTTCTTTGGGCAGGTAGTGTCCACATCTTCTCTAGGCCTACAGGGTATCAAAGGATGGATGGTCCCATGGGCAACCCTGCGTGATGCTGCCTTGAGTGACATCTGTGGGTGTAAAGTCCTGGGAGATGCTATTGGATTTTTGTTATTGCTTTTTAGTGTCACTCTTACCTAACCTAAGGTTGTAAGGCCACTAAGTTTGAAGTCTTTTCTCAAAACACTTGAAATGTATTTTTTTGTGTGTGTGGGTTTTTTTTTTTTTTTTTTTGGCAGCTGGTCAGTATGGGGATCTGAACCCATGACCTTGACGTTGGTGTTATCAGCACTGCACTGTAACCAACTGAGCTAACCAGCTGGCCCTGAAATGTATCTTAAGGAGGAAAAAAACCCTTAATCTTTTTGTATGCACCATTGAACCGATGTTGTCTGATCATGTTGTGTGGGTTCTGATGGCGGTGCCTCTCCGCTCCACAGCGTCTGGTGGGAGAAGCTTTTTTAGCTTCTGTGACCTAATCTGGGGGAAGCTCTCAGTGCGTCTGGTGACTTCCACTTAACTCAAGGTGCTTCTGGTTCAGTGGAGGTAAATGGTGAACACGATGTGAGCGTATCGTAGCTCAGGTTCATGCTATAAAGTTGCTGAGTTTTTTAGAGTTCGTCACATTTTGTTATCTGCTATGTATCAATTATTTTATTTTCAAATCACCTGCAGTTATTACAAACTGTGCCACATCAAACAGTTAACTATCTTATAGTTTATTTACCAAAGACTGCTATGTCAGCCATGATATATATACGTGTATATACATAAATAAATACATATATGCATACATATATATAAAGGATTTCTTGATTGATTACAAACATTCAGTTTTTTGGTCTGCAATATTGTTAGCATATGGTTAGCACTTGGTTAGGTAACACTGGCTTACTGTGTCTGATATATCACCTCCTTTTGCTGCCTTTGGGTCTTGTGTCTGCTCCTCATCTCAGAGTAGGCAGGCAAAGTAGAGATGAAAAGCAAATCGATCAGTATTGAGTGTTGATCTGGAGCTTTCTGTCAGGTACAACGTCTGGTTTTAGGAACACAACTTGGATTATTTAAGACAGAGTAATTCTCAGCCCTTTACAAGTAGTGATATATGGTTTTTGCTTCCTTTGTGATACCCCTCGCACTATGTTTTCAATTAGAGTTACTTAAAATTTTGTTTTGAAATCTTTTGCCACCCCTTAGAGGTAACTGGAGATACTTGGAAGTAGCTGAAGTTGGTCACTTGAGTTTTCCCACCTCCCCAGGCTGTGTCCTTTTGGGTGCCCAGCTTCACTCCCAAATAAGCCATACACGCACCCCCAATGTAATTCCATGTCTATGAAAAGCTTATATACAATGGCTTTTGTACTAAATGGAATGCTCTGGGTGTCAGAGAGTCATTTAGAGATCATTATGCTTGCATTTTTTCTGGAAACTTCCATGGACAATGCTTTCACCCCAAGGAATAACCCTTGTGATGACATGTTAGGCTGAGAGGAGAAAGAATGAGATTTTAAACAAGCTTTTCTGTGTCTTAAAACAACCTTGTTTACATTCATGTGCTGTTTCAATGTGGTGATAAATGGAGATTCCTGTGAGGACTTGCCTCAGACCAGGCTGGTGATGCCACCCCCTGTGTCTTTGTATATAAAGTTTTATTGGAACCAGCCACACTCTTTCACTTATGTATTGTTTTGTGGCTGCTTTCATGCTCCAATAGCAGAGTTGAGAAATTGCAACTGTATGCCCTGCAAAGTCAAAAATATTTACTATCTGGGCCTTTACAGAAAACAAAATGGCCAGCCCAGCTTAGAGGAATTGCATTCTTAGGATACTTTGAAAATTCTATCTGCTTGGGTTAGGTAACACCTAAAAACTTTGCCAGACACTCAGTTTCCTAAAATCATCTTCACC